CCTAACCTCTTCATGCATTGTGTTACTCGCACAGAGAGAATAGTTCTAAACCTACCCTAACCTCCTCATGCATTGTGTTACTCGCACAGAGAGAATAGTTCTAAACCTACCCTAACCTCCTCATGCATTGTGTTACTCGCACAGAGAGAATAGTTCTAAACCTACCCTAACCTCCTCATGCATTGTGTTACTCGCACAGAGAGAATAGTTCTAAACCTACCCTAAACCTCCTTATGCATTGTGTTACTCCCACAGAGAGAATAGTTCTAAACCTACCCTAACCTCCTCATGCATTGTGTTACTCGAACAGAGACAATATTTCATTCGTATTCACCGCCACGATATGTAAACATGACAGACCTGAGCCAGGCTCTAATAAACGTCTGGGATTGTAGGGAAAGTTGATTTGATATATATGACTGACGGAGTGTCAATCGGTTCTCTTAGCTGTTTGTATTGTAATCTAACTATATATATATATATATAGATATATATATATATTAATAGAATTATATGTTAATTATATTATATATATCCTTGTTATAATATATAATTAGATATGTTATTAATTGTTTTGATATCGCCGCAGAGCAAGGCAGAGATCAATCAGCTGACGGATAGATGTGAGAAGCTAGAAGGAAGCTGTAAGGAGGAGAGAGAGAAGGGGGGCGCGATGAGAGAGAGGGTCACAGAGCTGGAGACAGAACTCAAGACAAAGGTACGGGGTCTCGCGCACACCAATTACCGCGCGTCGATTAATTAATTAATGAGCTGCTGAATCGTAAGACCAGTATTTAAAATAAGTTAATTAAGTAAGAAAATAATCAGTAAGGCCGTTACCAAACACCAAGTGCATTAGTTGAATGAAAACTGCCATGTTGATTTTAGAAAAAGAAGTCGATTGCTTACTGTAGTAATGAATATAGCATACATTGTACTTCTGTGAACGTATTTCACATGTCACGGTCTTTAAACCAATAAAAGCGGTCCGGTATGCGACACAGACATCAAAGGAGTTTAGATTTTCCTAGTGTAAATCAATAAATTATTATTATTATTATTATCTCTGTTTGCTTCTTGACATGTAACGAGCTGTTAGTTGTGTGTGGTTCGTGATTCGCGCATGCGTTTGTCGCTTCCATCGTCGGCAGTCAGAGCAGCTTGTGGCGAGCGAGTCGGCGACCCTCGCCCAACGCTCCGACCTTGCGAATGACGTCAAGGTCATGCGGAACGCCCTCGACGACAAACACAGAGAGCTGGAGCAGTCTCAGCGACGGCTGGCTGAGACTGGCACCGAGCTCTCTGCAGCGACGCAGCGGTGCGAGGCGCTGGGGGAGTCGCTGAGGGAGGAGACGGGTCACGGCGGCAGTCTACAGGAGGAGTTGGCATCGCTACAGGAACAGATGAAGTCAACGGTATGGTGTCGTTAAATTAATTTTTGTTGATTAAAAACGGCTTCCTGTCGCTTTGTTAATCAAAAGTTTGCTGTATGCATGACGTGTGATGCCATTGTCAGATGGGGACGTTCGTTATTTGACATTCTATGCTGCATGTAATATCTTGCTAGTTCTTGTGTCTGTCCTTATGAATGGACACGACATTCTTTCCTGCACTTATTGAAGTACAAAAATCCGATATGTTACCATCACAGAGGTTCCATAGTTTGAAAATTAGTTATTTTTGTTTTTATTCACTCCTAATATATATATATATATAT